ATATCTGGATGACTCCAAGTCACAAACCAGATATGTGTATATTTTGAATGGTGGGGCCGTAAGCTGGTGCAATAGCAAGCAAAGCATCATGGCGGGATCTACATGTGAAGCGGAGTACATGGCAGCCTCGGAGGCAGCACATGAAGCAATCTGGATGAAGGAGTTCATTACCGACCTAGGAGTTATTCCCAATGCGTTGGGGCCGATGACTCTCTTTTGTGATAACACTGGAGCTATTGCCCTTGCCAAGGAGCCCGGGTTTCACAAGAAGACCAGGCACATCAAGTGTCGCTTCAACTCCATTCGTGAAAATGTTCAAGATGGAGACATAGATATTTGCAAAGTGCATACGGATCTGAATGTTGCAGATCCGGTGACTAAACCTCTTCCGCGAGCAAAACATGATCAACACCAAAACTCTATGGGTGTTCGATTCATCACAGTGTAACTAGATTATTGCCTCTAGTGCAAGTGGGAGACTTTTGGAAATATGCCCTAGAGGCAATAATAAAATGATTATTATTATATTTCCTTGTTCATGATAATTGTCTACTATTCATGTTGTAATTGTATTGACCGGAAACCGTGATACATGTGTGAATACATAGACCACAACATTTCCCTAGTGAGCCTCTAGTTGACTAGCTCGTTGATCAACAGATGGTCATGATTTCCTGACTATGGACATTGGATGTCATTGATAACGGGATCACATCATTAGGAGAATGATGTGATGGACAAGACCCAATCCTAAGCATAGCACAAGATCGTGTAGTTCGTTTGCTAAAGCTTTTCTAATGTCAAGTATCAGTTCCTTAGACCATGAGATTGTGTAACTCCCGGGTACCGTAGGAGTGCTTTGGGTGTACCAAACGTCACAACGTAACTAGGTGACTATAAAGGTGCACTGCAGGTATCTCCAAAAGTATCTGTTGGGTTGGCACGAATCGAGACTGGGATTTGTCACTCCGTATGACGGAGAGGTATCTCTGGACCCACTCGGTAATGCATCATCATAATGAGCTCAATGTGACTAAGTGGTTAGTCACGGTATCATGCATTACGGAATGAGTAAAGTGACTTGCCGGTAACGAGATTGAACGAGGTATTGGGATATCGACGATCGAATCTTGGGCAAGTAACGTACCGATTGATAAAGGGAACTGTATACGGGATTACTTGAATCCTCGACATCATGGTTCATCCAATGAGATCATTGTGGAACATGTGGGAGCCAACATGGGTATCCAGATCCCGCTGTTGGTTATTGGCCGGAGAGCTGTCTCGGTCATGTCTGTGTGATTCCCGAACCCGTAGGGTCTACACACTTAGGTTTGATGATGCTAGGGTTATAAGGAAGATTTGTATGTGATTACCGAATGTTGTTCGGAGTCCCGGATGAGATCCCGGACGTCACGAGGAGTTCCAGAATGGTCTGGAGGTGAAGATTTATATAAGGGAAGTCGTCATACGGTCACCGGAAATATTCGGGGGTATACCGGTATTGTACCGTGACCACCGGAGGGGTTTCGGGGGTCCACCGGGAGGGGACACCTGTCCCGGAGGGCCTTATGGGCTGTAGTTGGAAGGGAACCAGCCCCTAAGTGGCCTCGGCGCTACCCCCTAGGGCCCATGCGCCTAGGGTTGGGGGGGGACCCTAAAGGGGGCGCTCCCCTTGCTTGGGGGGCAAGCCCCCTCCCTCTTAGCCGCCGCCCCCCTCTAGATCTCATCTAGAGGGGCCGCCCCCTTCCCCCTTCTCCCTATAAATAGAGGGGTGAGGGGAGGGCTGCAGCACCACATCCAAGGCGCAGCCCCTCCCCTCCCCAACACCTCTCCTCCTCCGCGTGAGCTTGGCGAAGCCCTCCCAGAGAACTGCCACTCCATCACCACCACGTCATCGTGCTGCTGTTGGAGCCATCTTCCTCAACCTCTCCCTCCTCCTTGCTGGATCAAGGCGCGGGAGACGTCACCGGGCTGCATGTGTGTTGAATGCGGAGGTGCCGTTGTTCGGCGCTAAGATCGGAATCCACCGCGATCTGAATCGCTACGAGTACGACTCCTTCATCCGCGTTCTTGCAACGCTTCCGTCTCGCGATCTTCAAGGGTATGAAGATGCACTCCCCTCTCTCTCTCATTGCTAGTTACTCCATAGATTGATCTTGGTGATGCGTAGAATTTTTTTTAATTTTTGGCAACGATCCCCAACAGGTGCATGGGGGTGAGCAGTGTCGGAGTTGCTCACTGGGATGGGGCTTAGAGGGATGGCAAGGGCGGCAATCATCAGGATGGTGGGGGAGGAGGTCAAGGGGAGGGTGGGGCCGCAATAGCCGCCAGCCACGGGGGGTGGAGGCAGGTGGTTAGTGTTGGGGAACGTAGCAGAAATTCAAAATTTTCCTACGAGTCACCAAGATCTATCTATGGAGAGACTAGCAACGAGAGAGAGGATAGTGCATCTACATACCCTTGTAGATCGCTAAGCGAAAGCGTTCAAGAGAACGGGGTTGAAGGAGTCGTACTCGTCGTGATCCAAATCACCAGAGATCCTAGTGCCGAACGGACGACACCTCTGCGTTCAACACACGTACGGTTGGGAGAGACATCTCCTCCTTCTTGATCCAGCAAGGGAAGGAGAGGTTGATGGAGATCCAGCAGCATGACGGCGTGGTGGTGGAAGTAGCGGGATCCCGGCAGGGCTTCGCCAAGCGCAAGCGGGGAGGAAGAGGTGTCACGTGAGGGAGGGAGGCGCCAGGGACTCAGGTGCGGCTGCCCTCCCTCCCCTCCATTATATATAGGGGCCTAGGGGGCGCCGGCCCCTTGTAGATCCCATCTAGGGAGGGGGGCGGCTGCCCTAGGGGTGGCTTGGCCTCCAAGCCAAGTGGAGGCGCCCCCACCCCTTAGGGTTTCTAACCCTAGGCGCATGGGAGGCCCAAGGGGGGGCGCACCAGCCCACCAGGGGCTGGTTCCCATGTCCCCTCAGCCTATGGGGCCCTCTGGGATAGGTGGCCCCACCCGGTGGACCCCCGGGACCCTTCCGGTGGTCCCGATACAATACCGATGACCCCCGAAACTTTTCCGGTGGCCGAAACTGGACTTCCTATATATAAATCTTTACCTCCGGACCACTCCGGAACTCCTCGTGATGTCCGGGATCTCATCCGGGACTCCGAACAACATTCGGGTTACCGCATACTATTATCTCTACAACCCTAGTGTCACCGAACCTTAAGTGTGTAGACCCTACGGGTTTGGGAACCATGCAGACATGACCGAGACAACTCTCTGGCCAATAACCAACAGTGGGATCTGGATACCCATGTTGGCTCCCACATGTTCCACGATGATCTCATCGGATGAACCATGATGTCGAGGATTCAATCAATCCCGTATTCAATTCCCTTTGTCTAGCGGTATTGTACTTGCCCGAGATTCAATCGTTGGTATGCCGATACCTTGTTCAATCTCGTTACCGGCAAGTCTCTTTACTCGTTCCGTAACACATCATCCCGTGATCAACCCCTTGGTCACATTGTGCACATTATGATGATGTCCTACCGAGTGGGCCCAGAGATACCTCTCCGTTACACGGAGTGACAAATCCCAGTCTCGATTCGTGCCAACCCAACAGACACTTTCGGAGATACCCGTAGTGCACCTTTATAGCCACCCAGTTACGTTGTGACGTTTGGTACACCCAAAGCATTCCTACGGTATCCGGGAGTTGCACAATCTCATGGTCTAAGGAAATGATACTTGACATTAGAAAAGCTTTAGCATACGAACTACACGATTTTTGTGCTAGGCTTAGGATTGGGTCTTGTCCATCACATCATTCTCCTAATGATGTGATCCCGTTATCAACGACATCCAATGTCCATGGTCAGGAAACCGTAACCATCAATTGATCAACGAGCTAGTCAACTAGAGGCTTACTAGGGACATGGTGTTGTCTATGTACCCACACATGTATCCGAGTTTCCTATCAATATAATTATAGCATGGATAATAAACGATTATCATGAACAAGGAAATATAATAATAATAACTAATTTATTATTGCCTCTAGGGCATATTTCCAACAGTTAGGCCTGAGTAGGCCTCTATGGAGGAGGAGGAATCATCGCGGGAGAGGAGCAAGAAGGTAAACTGGTGGCAGTGTGCTCCTAACCGTTGGATATTTGATGGCCAAAAATAGAATTGATGGACGCGAAGAGTTTTTCAGGTGCCTAATGTATAGGTGCCCCTTACATTATTTACAATAATTTACCCGTAGCAACACACATGCATTTAACTAGTTTTTTGAAAGCTTAGAACCAGTAGCACACCATGTGGAAAGTAGAGAAGAAAAAGCCAGGATGATATCCTCATATCTCATCGACATTTATTTTAAAAGTTTTGAGATAATAGCACATCGTGAAAGAACTAAAAAGAAAAAAAACTAGCAATGCATGTTCTTTAGATGCTAAGTATAACGAGAATATATATGATAAACTTTATAAATTAAGTTATGAATGTAGTGAATATTGTGATAAAAGACTGCCATGGTCCCTCTAATGATAAGTGGGTACCTAAAATTTCCGAACGCGGAATCACTTGATAAAAGTATTGCTATGCACGATGAAACTATATCTATTGCTACTATTGATGATGCTTACAATATTTCTATTAGTTATTTATTTTCTACCCTTGGAACCACTGGGGTGCACATTTCTATTATATAATCAGAAATCAGGAATTTTTTTTGAGAAAGAAGTCGGGAATTACAAAAAGGTTAGGGGGTGGTTAGGATATACAAAAAAGCCGCCGCACCGGGCCTCGGCCCACGGACCCAAAACATCCAGCTGGGCTGCATTTACTGCGGAAAGGCCCAAGGCCCAGGCCGACAACCTATACCACCTGAAGCTCAGGCCGAAGTCAGGGGAATCTCCATCAACTCCTTCCCCAAGCCGCAACCTCCCACAAATCTCCGCCTCCCCTCCCCTCCCCGGCCGCAGCAGAGCGCCATGTCGTCCTCCCCTACCCCCGCGCCAGACGCCGGCGCCGCCGCGATGGCCGTCGACGACTCGTCGGAGACCGACCAGCTCGACTCCATGTCCACGGAGGACATCGTCCGGGCCACCCGCCTCCTCGACAACGAGGTCCGCGTCCTCAAGGTACGGCCCCCCTCCCCCGAACCCTAGCAGCCGCTATCCCGTCCCGTCGGTCCAGGGTTGCCTGATCTGGTTTGTCTGTTCGCGGGGGTGCAGGACGAGCTGCAGCGGAACAACCTGGAGCTCGAGAACGTCAAGGACAAGATCAAGGAGAATCAGGAGAAAATAAAGCTCAACAAGCAGCTGCCCTACCTCGTCGGCAACATCGTCGAGGTTCGTGCCTCACCTGCCCCAGGAATTTACCCGATCTGGTCTTGGATGCGGAAATTATGGGTTTCTGTACCAAGTTCATTCATGCCGGATTCACGATTCCCCGATCCAGTATTAGTTCGTGCAAACCGGATTAGTAGCCCAGAGTAGCGTCTGACGTCACATGCTCTAGTTTTGAGCTTCACTGCGTGCTAATTGATGAGGGGCCAGTGACTGTGTGCCCTAGTTTAGTTGCTGGAAATGTTTGACCTGACAGAAACGCGTAGTTACACGCCAATTTCCCTCTTGTGACCAACCTTGTAAACTAGTAGAACGCCTGTGCAAGTAACCTAATGTTTAGGGAAAGATGTGCATCCCTTTTTTCTTATCAGTCAGTTGAATGTTCGTATGTGCATCCCTTCTGTGATATAACGCTGGATACTTGGCACATGCGCCAGGATCAGAAATTTGGCCGATTGGCAGTTATGCCTCTGAATGCTAGCGTTAAGTGTAGCGCCGGCTGAAGACATTTCATCGAGCACTTGATTGTTTTTCTTCCCACATCTATGCAGTTTCATTTGCTCCTTTTCATATCACCGTGACAGTAATACGCTATAATGAGGACATCTTCCAAGAGAAGAATATGCCACACATGCATTATGTTAAATAAAATACAATTATAAGCGAGTAAACTTATCAAATAGGAAAAAAACTGTTTTGTTGATTTTGATCGGTTAATTACATTTATTAACAGAATATCAATAGAAATGTTGTCATGGTGGAGCACACTTACAACACATGGACTTTCTCAACCTTAGAGCCCGTGTTCATGGTCGATTAGCTTCAGCAGCTGCTAACATAAATGCAATCTAGCTCGTAATATGTCGTGCATTGCTACTTTCAGCTGTGTAGCGAGGACTACATCTGGTGGTGGAGGTCCTACCTCACCTCATATGTGCTCTTAATGAACACGTTCAGATTACTACATGGACTAACCCAGATTATCCATTAGGCGGTAGATATAGTACCTTGGCGTTTTCTAGACCGTGGCGTCAAGCTGCAGAGGGAGCTGCATCGTAATTGTACATGCCATAGTCTGACGGCACGATAGCCGCGTGAATGATGTGATGATCAGTACTGATGATGATGCCTGCAGTATTGGAGCGGCGGCGCGGCGTGCTGCCCTGGAGGCCCCAATGCGGTGAGGTTGACCTAGTACTAGTAGCCTAGCGGGCGACGGGCGTCAGGGACCATGGGTTGAGGGAGACGAATCGGCAGTCCTGATCGTGAATTCGTGATGGATGGGAGCAGTGAACGGCGTGATTGAGGGTGTGGAGAATAAACCGAGTGGGGTTGGAAACTAGGGGCGACGGGGCTTTAGTTTTGGAAGAAGATCCCTGGTGGGAGGAGAATAAAATCAGTGGGGCTCGTACGTGGTGGGTCTTGTATCGATTGATGAGCAACGAACGAACGACTTACAGACTGCACCTTTAGGAGTAGAGGTTATCTAGGAGGTAGTAAATCAATTGCAACTGTATTGCTTGCTATGTGGTAGCTATCTGGAATCAGTTGGTGTGTATCAGTGCTGTTGTTCATTAGCTTCTGATAACTTATCTGGCAAGGATAAACTGCTGCACTCATTTAGTCTTTTCCAACTCAGAACTGATATTTTCAAGGTTATAATCTGCCAGGTTGCTGATAAATATCTTGACTTCAGATGCATTTTTACTTGGAAACCTACTAATGTAATTTGTCAACTGTTTCAGATTTTGGAAATGAACCCTGAAGATGAGGCTGAAGAGGATGGTGCTAATATAGATCTGGACTCACAGAGGAAAGGAAAATGTGTTGTTCTTAAGACATCCACAAGACAGGTAAATAAACTTGCTCAAACTTGCTGTGGTGCTTATACATCTCTAGTATCCGTTATTACTTCTACTCCCAACTGTATATGCATGAACTGTCCTGGATGTAGCCCAGGCATGCTGGTGGTTGGTGCCATAGAAACAAGTACTCACATAGGAAAGATGCTCCATGGTTGATTAGTTGTGTGTATTCAGGTTGACTCCAATTTTAGTGTTTCTGCCTATATTTGGGAGAGCCGAGTAGTACAACAGAAGTTAATTAAGTGCTAGTGTTTTAGCTCAGCACAGTTCAGGAGGTGGATAATTAGGAAAGAGATAAGACTATGATTTCATTTGGTTTCAAGTTAGTACAAGCGTTAAGTTAGGTACGTAGTTTTGTACAAGAGCAGGTGTTGTAATCTTTTGACACTATGGACCTTTTCCATCTAAACAAGCAGTAAAATTCTTAAGTAGATTTTAATTTTGATTGACAACTATCCTATTGGCTACAAACACCACCATTTGTTATTTTAACTGAGTTTGGCATGTCAACCATGCCAAGTTCTCCTGGGAGTTTGTACCATGATACATCAATCACAAATAGCCGAATTTATTATGTCAGACATCACATCCTAGTACTTTGCAGCGTCAATTTTCCTGTCCCTGCCTGTGTACAGCATTTTACTTGGTGTATCCATATTAACCCTTTCATTTTTGAGCCTATGGGCTATTTTAATTTTAGATTTTTGGAACTTGACAAGCTTTATTTCCACATACCATTTGATGAATCTCATTAGTTGGGCAATCTTAGCTGGTTTAGGGAATCAATTTACTTGTGTGCTGTAAAGAGTTGGACGTGCTGCCCAAGGCTTCTCTGTTCATTTTCTATTCTTGATTGCAGACTATATTCCTTCCTGTGATCGGGCTAGTTGACCCTGACAACCTCAAGCCTGGTGATTTGGTTGGAGTCAACAAGGACAGCTACTTGATATTAGACACGCTACCTTCGGAGTATGACTCTCGAGTAAAGGCAATGGAGGTAGATGAAAAGCCTACGGAGGATTATAATGACATTGGTGGCCTTGAGAAAGAGGTATTTACTAGGATGATTGCCAGTTTATCTTTCTGTAGGTAGTACAATGTTAAGTTTCTTACCTCAGAATATTTTTAGTTGATAATTATTCGCTTTTATTTGCTCCCTCATGTTCTGATTTTGTATTGTCTAATTTCTAATGCAGATTCAGGAACTCGTTGAAGCTATAGTGTTGCCAATGACACACAAGGAGCAATTTCAGAAGTTGGGAATCCGTCCCCCGAAAGGAGTTCTTTTATATGGACCACCTGGGACGGGGAAGACATTGATGGCTCGTGCATGTGCTGCACAAACCAATGCAACCTTTCTGAAACTTGCTGGTCCGCAGTTAGTCCAGGTAACTAACTTTGGATGTTCATTGAAAGCAGAATGTGCAATATCATGTTATTATTCATTTTAATGAACTAGATGGTCATGCTAATTGACTTGTTCTAGGGCTAGCAGGCTTATTCTACTAATCATTGAACACTGCTTTGGCATGCTTTGTAGACTATGATCAGTTCTGTTAAGATGATATTGTATCTTTCTTCACACTCAAGTGAACTTTGATTGTAATCCTTAACTCTGTAGCTGATAGTGATTAAGGATTCGTTAGCATCATTGGCTCAGGATATGACTTGACTTGCATCTAAAATTGCTGGCTCCAACTTAGAATGTCCATTTGCATCTGTAATATTCTCGGGTCCAGCACTTTTTAATTCTTCTGGGTATCTTTCAGTCAGATATTTACATTTTTGTGAATTGTTTCAGATGTTCATCGGTGACGGGGCAAAGCTTGTCCGAGATGCCTTTGAGCTGGCAAAGGAGAAGGCCCCCTGCATCATTTTTATTGATGAAATTGATGCAATTGGAACAAAGCGTTTTGACAGGTGCATTTTGCATTTTGTTTTGCATGCATCGCTTGTACACTAAGCGTTGTGATTTTTTAGTTTAGTCCAGCGCAAATGCTTAGTTTCCCTTTACCTATTGTGGTTGAAGTATGCCTCGTCATGTTGTTACTCTTGTTTTTAATTTGGCGAATTGTCTGATGAACACCATGGTACTCCCTCCGTCCCAAAATAAGTGCCTCAAACTTGTACTAACTTTAATACAAAGTTGTATTAAAATTGAGACACTTATTTTGGGACGGAGGGAGTATAATCTTTGTATGAAGAAAATCAGTTAGTGTCCCTGCAAGTCGAACACTCCTTCAACCTTCTATGTCATCATATATAAAATAAGAAGTTGTTAACCTATTAATGCAGGGTAAAGATATTGATTACTTGCAACTAGATATGATTTTTTACGGGGAAGTATATATTTGATATTGTTTGTATTTTTCTTTTTCTATTTGACTGCAGTGAAGTGAGTGGTGACAGAGAAGTGCAACGAACTATGTTGGAGTTGCTGAATCAGCTAGATGGATTTAGCAGTGATGAGAGGATAAAGGTCAGCATGTCCTAATATTTGTCTCTGTAATCTGAATGCATGCAAGCTCAACCTGTAAAGATAATTTGTTTTGTACTGATGGTTTGGCCTAACTAGTTGTTTTGAAAACAGTAATTTGATAAAATAGATATTTTTATTTGATTGATTAATGAGTAGCCACAGATTGGCTTCAGTTGGTCATAATTTGAGAGATGATGAATACCTGATCAGATGTTTTATTCATCCTGTTAGCTTAACGCATTGTTGTTATGTGACTTGCAGGTGATAGCTGCAACCAATCGTGCAGATATTCTTGATCCTGCTTTACTCCGTTCTGGTCGCCTGGACAGGAAGATCGAGTTCCCTCATCCGACGGAAGAAGCAAGAGCTCGGATTTTGCAAGTATGTCTCTTGTAATTTGTTAAAGGCTGAACTCTTATTGCAAAAATTTCTTACCTTCTGGTTTTGTGCACTCAAAGAAGTTTCTTCTGTGTTCTATCTTGTAGATTCACTCAAGGAAGATGAACGTACATCCTGATGTCAACTTTGAGGAGCTGGCTCGTTCAACTGATGATTTCAACGGTGCACAGCTGAAGGCTGTTTGTGTGGAAGCTGGCATGCTTGCTCTACGCAGGGACGCTACAGAGGTTTGTGCTGACTCTTGTTCTTTTGCCACACTGGTGCCTTTATGGAAATATCGGTTTGTTGGTAGATAATGGAAGATGATAACCGCAGATAAAATCGATTAGTATGTTAGATCAGAAAATTATAAACAAATCAACATTAGGTCTATGGTATGTTCAGCATGAACTGGACAGCCTGAAATATCTTTCCTACTTCTAAATATTTGAGTTGGTGGTGAGTTCACTCAGCTCAACTTCCTACGCTTAAATCATGGGTCCTACTACACAGCAGATGAAATAGAAAATATATTGACTGATGTTGAACCTGGTATGTCTCCTGTGCATGGATAGCAACCTGGTACGCATAGTTTTTTAGAGAAAAATACACATATCTTCCTCACGGCTTCCTGTTACGCCGCCCCCATCATCCCCTGACAGTCTTCCTTCTCCTGCCGCCTCTATGCTCCAATTGTGACCACCGGCATTCATTTTTTTTTTCAATCCTCGCCTCTCCTGATGCTGCAACCCATAGCTTGCTACAAGAATGGCAACTGTGGGACACGCTAGCCACCAGACTGCTGCTGCAGCTACTGGAGCTCGGCGCCGGTGGGTTCTAGACCGGTGTGAGGATATGCATGGGCAACGGGTTTGGGGCTGGGGATTTCTGCTGGTGCTGGGCATAGAAGTTGTATTCGGGAGGGAGCTGTCTCTGTATTCTTTGGTTGTTCCATGGAAATGCACGGGCACTGATCTAGTAAATACATTTTGCAATAGAGAATCATAGTGGAATATAAATAGTATTTATGTGTCCTGGTAGCTCGTACCATCAATTTTGTGATTTGACTGCCTGAAGTGCACTTCCCTCATGAAGCATGTTTAACTGTATTCAGAAACAACGGATAATGCGCTCAACCCTATCTTTTTGCATATGCAGGTGATCCATGAAGATTTCAACGAAGGCATTATCCAAGTGCAAGCAAAGAAGAAGTCCAGCTTGAATTATTACGCTTAGTTTCCCTTGAGTAATCAGAACGCTTGGTCCAGTGATGACCTCTGTTTGTAACACTCGGCTACCATTTTTATTTGGAATATAGTTTAATTCTCGAATCCTCCTGATTGTGTGAAGCACTCTTGCTTTGTGCCTGTACTCTGTGCCGAAAATGTGAATTGTGGACTATACGGCTGGTTCAGGATGCATTAGCTCGTTTAATGAATGTGTGGTACTACTGATAGTATGGACTTTTCGTGAGATTTTGCAGCATCCACGAGAAAACGAGCGTTGCTGCTCACGGCCGGGAGCATTTTTTTTCTCTTCGAAACGGACTCACGGCCGGGAGCATGGCCGCACACGAACAGGTAGCATGGAAGCAAGCTCAGCTGAAGTTACGTATTCTAATCACCTCTTGGAAGGATATTATCTTTTGATTAGCTCAAGGGCAGCACAAACTTCAGAGTGAGGATTACTGCGATCCAAGACACTCTGAACCTACTACTGTCTCTCTTGGAAGTGCACAGAAGATGAATCATTTTCTTCTCCCGTAGGAGAAATGCAGGCATGATCATGAGGCATGAAAGACAAATCTCTTTCCCATTTTTACCGCCTGAAATAAATGCTCGTGGCTAACAAATTCAGAGCTCATTAGGGCATCTCCAACAGTCGTAAGATAGATGTTGGTTAATTTGCCACTTAGGACATAATAATGATGTGACATGTAATAAATATGGAAAGAGAGCAAAGTTGTATGTAGATTAACCAACAACCTTTGCACAAGCTCCAAGATGAAATAGAGAGTAATCACATTTATTTTCTCACCATCTATTGAATAGCTTACATACAACCTATTGGAGCAGTTGTATGATAGCTTGTTGGTTGATGACATGGATATTTTACCAACAAGATTAACATACAACCTGTTGAAGATGCCCTTATAAACACTGTCCCTTCCTTTCGCCACGTAACCGCATCAGACAGACAGTGCAGCACGCGATTGGGTATTGCGACGATGTGATTTATGACGTATCGACAAGCCAGGGAACGACGGTTGCGGTGTCGATTCTGCCTGCCTGCCTGCCTGCGGTTGCGGGTACAGTGAGCCACGTCCCATGCATCTTTTTTTTCTGGCCGACTGTCTCGATATACCCAATAAATTCAGTTCTTAGTATAGTGACGCGCGCATTGTATTCAACGACCTATAGACCCGTCAAATTATCCGCAGAAACAAATCGATGAGTTTGGTGGCTGGTGAGGCCACACTGATGTTTCCCATCCATTACTTGTCAGATCAGTAAAAAATTGTGGCAAAACGATGTTGAATGCAGTCACTCTCGGTATCCGAACCAACACGGAAACACGTTTTAAATTTCTCAAGAATCATCAGCCCCGGCCGCCGGTGGCAGAGGATATGATAAAGAGGAGGATCCCTCCAACGATGCCCCTCATCGAGGAAACGGGTGCGGAAGATGCTAAATCGACGACAAAGAAGCGCGCACGCAAGCAATGGATTGACGGACAAGCACATTTATTTTTATTGGGTTTTCTTTTGTTTCTTTTTGTTTTCCATCCTACATTTTTATATACATGTTCAACATTTTTTTCAAATGTTTGTTCAATATTTTTCAAATACTTGTTCGACATTTTTCAAACACTTGTTCCATTTTTTTATACATGATCAATAGTTATTTAAATACTTGTTTAACATTTTTTAAATACTTGTTCCACATTTTTCATATACTCATTCAAAAAATGTTAAATACTTGTTCAACATTTTTCAACATTTTGCAATTTATTTGAAGAGTGTTTTTTAATATATATA